CATTAACATATCAACCTGAAAAATCTACAGCACTGACTGTAATACTGAATCCAGAAGGAATCCCACTGCTGTGGTTGTTTAAGGAGAGGAAGATTCCAATGAGCCTAAACTAACAAATCACAAATTTGTGCGTTTTGGAGAGAGAGACACCAGCCTAACTGGATCAAAGAATCAAGTAGGGATAAATCAGAAGTGAATCTTTGTTTAACTTTGCTGTTGATTAACCTGTTAACTATTTTTTCTCTATGTATATAATGTGTGACACATCAGATTGAGTTGCAAATAGATGCGTAAGGGTATAAATCCTGGGCCTGTTTCTCAAGAGGGAAAACTATTTTTGTTGCAATATATTTGTACAACTAGGAGTGGTTTTTTGTTTTTCTGTCCGTTTAACTACAATTTTTAAAATGCTTTTGTCTAGTTTCGTTTTGCCTTTGTTAATTTTTCTTTGCATTTTGTTTTTTTAATCTTCTGAATAAAATAAAAAATACACAAGAAAAAGTGGATCTCTGATATCTCGTGTGGTGCTGTTGAGTGCCAGTTGGGCCACTGAAGGCTGATATTAAGACTCAAGGCCTGGACTTTTGCTCCTGTTGCTTCTACTCACTTTTTGATCAGCTCCTTTGACTGCTGCAGGAAAAAAAGAGAGAATCTTCAACATCAATGAAGCAGAAAACAACAATATCCCCAAGCTTTAAACTACTGAATCTTCCAAGTTGCAAGCAGGGTCCTGCTTCTCTTCTCCCTTACCTGTCCATCCTTAAGAAAGGTGACAGCATATCCAGCTTCTTGCTGATTGATTTAAACTGGCTCCAGGCTTACCCTGCTCCCCACCCTGTCCTGTCACACCTGTATGCACCTGCAGATAGAGGGCCATCTGGGGTTCCTCCATGGATTGGATGGCTGACTCAACCAGCTTAGAGGAGACCTCAAGGTGGTCCCCATATTGCCGGATGAGCCCGCGCACCCTTTGGACTTTTTCCTCCTGCTCTCGTCCGATTTCTTGCAACAGCTCTTTTTTGCGTTCCTCCAGGATGCTATACAAAGAGTCAAAGCGCAGACAAAGATGTTGCTTCTGTCGCCGAGCATTATCCTGCCAGGGAGGGAACAGGTGAGCTATTATTTTAAAAGTACTATTTCCACCACAGGTTAAAGTTAACTAAATGGTATCATGAGGTCAATAAGTACTGCAAGTGTATGTTTCCCCGCTTTGCCTCTTATTTGCTCCCAGAAGGCTCCAACTTTTCTCCAACTTTCATACGGGAGAAAAAAGGAAGCTTACAGGTAGCCCTCAGCTTATGACCACAGTTGAGTCCAACATTTTCATTGCTAAGCAAGGTAGTTGTTAAGTAAGTTGCACTCCATTTTTCAACCTTTTTGGCCAAGTTGTTAAGCAAATCACTGCAGCTGTTAAGTGAATAAATAATACCAGTTGCCAAGCACCTGAATTTTGATCATGTGGCCATGGGGATGCTGCAAGAGTAGTAAGTGTGACAACCAGTCATAAGTCACATTTTCAGTGCCATGGTAACTTTGAACAGTCACTAGGTCAGTGTTTCTGAACCTTGGCGACTTTAAGTCCTGTGGGATTCAACTTCCAGAATTCCCCAAACCGCATATCTAGCTAGGGGAATCTTGGCGTAGTGGA